TTCTCTGAAGCTTCATGGAGAAATGGTCTCAGTGGAAGGGTGGGCGTGAAGAAGCCATTCTTATGGCAAAGAAACGGGGAGAAAAGGACGAGGTATGCCAAATACACAAGAACTGGACTGAAAATCAGTGGCAACGGGTCCTATTGAGTGATAAATCCAAATTTAGACCTGATTATTGAAGCAGCGTGGGATCATCTTGACAATGCATAACAAAATTCAGCAAACATTCAAAGAAGAGCCTTGAATGTCCTTCAGGAAGCCTGGAGAATACTTAAAGAAATGACTTAAAGAAATGACAGGCGCTTGCCTAAGAGAGTTCAGGCTGTTCTGTAGAATAAAGATGGTCATATCAAATATCTGACTCTGATTCTAATAGAAATGTAAAAACTCTGTTTTTGCCTTACATACAGTGTTTGGGTTTACGTTTGCATTAGTTTCAATAAATATCTCATCCTAAAACAAAAAGAAATTAAAAGACAGTATTATATGTACAATGCTGTACATGCAATAAAATGGTCTACTATTAGACAGGAAAACAAGCATGAGTGTATACACACACACACACACAGTTTGAAAAGATGAGACTTTCTTTGAAAAAACCTCCTTAATCACTTTGTTTCCTTGTTGGACTCCTTCATTAATGGAAGTTTACTGAGTGGTGACACCTGTTGTTCATGACAAGACTGCAGAGTGTGTAGTGCAACTCAAGTGCCAGTATAAATGGTTGAGAATCATCAAAGTTGCCACAAAAAAACAACAGCCAATGCAGCAACCATAAACTAGCATTTAAGAAAAGGTGTGTGTGTGTGTGTTCAGCTTTCTGTAGATACTAAAGTCTAAAAATGTCTAAAAGTGACTAAAACCTGTCACTGCAAAAGAAAACACTGTCATCTTTTCAAACACTTGAATGTATCACCAGCTCTGTTTAGCCAAATTATGCTTTCTGTTGTCATCTTAAATTGTTTTCCGCTTTCTTCCCTGTTACACACAAAAGCAAAACAAGCACACTAGGCCGCAGAATCACTCCAGTAGGGGTACCAGAATAATATCCAGGCCACAGCAGGAGTAGCTGGCCAGGGGCACTCACTCTCTTTTTACTGCATCGTGTTTGACCTTCAGCCTGCAAAGTACCCGCTCCCTCATGTTCACCCTTTGGGACCGACAGCCAAAAATAGACTGCAGTCTGATACATACAAACATATCACTACTATACACTTGCATGCACACTGTATGTATGTGTATTACATAAACACACATACTCACACTCACTTTACTTCACACTTTTCGAGTCCTGCACCCTACTATCTTTAGTCCCGATGGTTCAGCGGCACTCTGCACAAGGGTTGTCTTTCTTTATCCTCATATATATTTATGTGTGTGTGTATGTGTGTGTTTGTGTGTGTGTGTGTGTGTGTGTATGTATACATACATACATATATATATACATATAGTCATGAGTCACACTATCAAACACATTCCACTCAAGTGGGACAGAAAGTGTGAGAGGAGAGGAGTTTTACTTTTCACATACTTAGAGCACTACATCAATGCTATATTGCTAATGCATTGCTAAGAGGGTCAGCCTGGAAAATTTTGCACTAAAGATAAAGTGGTTACTAATAGTGGTTAACCTGTTTTGCTGTCCCAACTGGATGGCCCCTTTGTATGAACAAAAACTAAGTTTCAACAAATTAGAAGCAATGCTCATGTTAGGGTTAAAGCGGGCCATAAAGCTCTGGAACATCATTCTGGCACCTTCAATTAATGAGTAATTAAATCTGATAAGTATTTTAATACATAATGAATATAAAGCAAGTTCATTTTTCATGTGCTGCAGCCTGATGCTCCTTCCAGCTGATGTCAGGGAGATACTCAGCAAATTAGAAAGTAATGTCACCCCACGGGTCTGCCTGCACATTCATACACGTCCCTTTTCCTTCCCTTCCTGCATTCATGCTGCAGGCTTCAATAAAGCCAGGCTACAGAACAGGAGCAAGCATAAACGTTTCTTTTTTTGAGTGCAGATTTTTAATATCAGCAAACACAGAGATGTTTTTTGGAAATTGGAACACAATGTGTCCGTTAGCTAAAGGTGACATCTAAGACATGGAGAAAAAGGAGAGTAAAAATGAGAGATTATTTGATGAATGAATTAAACTGCAAATGCAACACTTGGAGCTCCATTTATGGTCCCTCAAGTTTATAAGTCTAATACTCAGTTACTTTTTGGCTTGACTCCGCCCCCATCGATGTCTGACACTAACATCTTTGGGGCTTCTAAATGCTCCACTATCATGTTCACAGCCTGCCACTAGAAGCTAATGTTTACTGTCCATCCGTTTTCTGCTGGGTAGGTACTGCAGCGCCGTGTGGCTCTTTCTGGCTTTGTTGCTGAGGACATGTGTTTACTGCAGCTCGAGATGAGAATAATTTGAGCTCTGGAGAGCTGAGACAAATTTCAGAGGCATCTCATAATTCACTGTGGGTAGGTTAGTATCAGTAGCCGAAAAAACATGTAACATTTAACCTGCTGTTAACATAATTATTTGGATACCTAACATGCATAATTTACATTAATCTTATAACAAAATTTGACTGCAAGATAAGAACATTTTGTTTGGTGTTGCACTGCAGCTGCTACTTGCTTGATTGCACTGGTTATGGAGTGAGGAGTGCTCAGGCTGACAGCAGCAGAAGCAGCAATAAAAGCTTTGCTCGGTGCTGATTAGGCCTGATATACGCTAGGCACTATGGGGGACAGCTCATGACGGCTCCCCTGACCTTTGCCTTCATAAGCACAGAAACCCATTTGCCTTGTTACTTTGCCCACACTCCCTCACTCCTTGTACACACTTGCTTTCTGTGGGTGCTCTACAGCAGATAATGAATCATTTCAAAATTAGAAGCTGCTCTAAGAGCACATTGCAGCGTGAACACTAAGAGATGGTCTCTCTGACATTGAAAACTAGGAAATACCAAACTGGATCCTCTGTATGAACAACTGACAAAAAAGTCCTCTTTTGGAATATTTTTAAAACATATTAATTTAACAAATAAAGGTTACTTGCCTATAGCGTAAATGATGAATCTAACTTTATAAATGACACATGCAGAATGATAAAGAAAGGCCCATTAGGTATTTTAATTGACATGATGATATGAGTGCTATGCATGATCATTTAAATCATTAAGTGTATTAGTGCAGTCCTGTATTAATAATGACGCGTCATTTAAATTAGTAAATGAATAATAAAGCCGAGGATTAGTGGAGACATGAGCTGAGCCAGTCAGACCTTAGCTGATCTTCCTATAAAAACTAAAAAATCCAAACACTTTTGAGGCATCTCTCCATTTCAGCTGAAAGCTGGTCAGGAGCAAAAAATAGTGCAGATAAAAGAGGAAGTGTGCCACTAGGTTTTACTTACTTTTCACTAATGCAGAAGAAAGGAAAAAGGCTTTTACAGTGTGCTAAGAGCTTCTCATAAACATGGAGGCAAATGTTTCTCTGTCTCAGTAGCCATCTCTCCTCTCTAGAAGAGCACAGTGTGATTACAGCAACAGCCCATCCCTTCTACATGCAGGCCTTTGAGAACAGAAACAGAAGGTAATGTCGGAGCTGGGAGAAAGCCAAGAGCCCAAAGACACAAAAATGTAGGTTGCTATGTTCCTGCTGAATGTTGACAACACATTTAGATAAGTTTATAGCAGTTAGGTAAATGCTGAAATCTTCCAAATTTAACACGATTTACAGGTTGTGTGTGGTTGTGTGTGTAAAATTGAAAAAGCACAGCTACAAGCTAAAAACAACCTCATAAAAATCCGTGTTCATGCTCTGAAAATACCACACCCAACCTGTTTTTTATTTCATATCTCTTTGTGCCCTCATTCTAAAGGCTTAAATAAACCTCAAAAAGTTCTATATTTAGCATAGCTCATTTATTTGAAACATATGGAGAACGTTCTATTGACAGGGTCTCACTGAAGGGTGTGTGGGTGGTATTTCCACTTAAAAGCTGGAGTGTGAATCGTAATGAAGTGAGGAGGCAAAACGAAAAGGAAGGGAAGGGGGTGGACTTGAGCGCTAGGAGCAATGGGTGTACGAACAGCAAACTCACAAAGCAGGAGTGATTCATTTAAAGGGATTTGGTGCATGCGCCAGATTTAGCCTCTCTGCTTTGCATTTATACACATAGAGAGGATAAAAAAAAGAAGGCTACGAAGAAGCACAGAACGGGGGAGGAGGGAGGTATTTAAAGAAAGTAAGACAGATAAGAAAGTTAACAGGAAAGTTTGTAGATTGTGATCAGGGGATGATGAGCTTGATAGTTTTGGGTGACCAAGAGGATGGACCTTACAGAAAAGAGACTTGAAGACAGGGAAATGTAACGATGCCAGCTGGACGGATGGAGGGATGACAGCGCAGCGTAATTGGATTAAAGGGCAGAAAATTAAAAGTATTTACTTTGTATCCTCCTCCAGCAAATAGGATCCACTGATAGCACGTATTGCTGTTCTGCTGAGCTACGAGAAAGGCAACACTTTCAAAAGAGGCCTTAACTGAATATATACAGTATGCATGTGCATAGACACAATTCCATATAATTGTGTCTGCATCATATATGCATGAGGTCTGTAATATAAATAATACAATGCATGAGATGATGCCTGAATGTTATGCACAACCACATGGGCCAAGTCTGAGTGTGGCTCATGATTCTGTGCATGTCATGTTGTAATCTGCTGCTCTGCACTCGTGTTCCCTGGCAAACAAACAGCAACATCAGGTGTGCATATGTGCGTGTGCTTTTGCGGCTGAGCAATCAGCAGCGCAGCTTGAGACCGTGACTGGACTTCGACAGACAGGATGACAACTGCGCACGTGTTGCCAGACTTTAAGTCTTGGACGGGCTGACACACTGAGCGAGATGACTCAAACGCATAAACACCCAGTCACGCAAAACAAAGACACGGCCCAGAAAGTGCGTTTTGCAGCAGCTCACCCTGTGCAAGTCCTGCTCGAACACAGCTTCGTGGACGCTGCACGCAAAGAGCGCTGTGGGAAGGTCGCTCAGATCCATCATCTCCTCCACCATGCCGTCTTGATCACTCTCTCCAAATATCATGTCCTCTTCCTCCTCATCATCCTCCTCGGGATCACTGCTGTAGGCCTCTGAGCCGTTACTCCATGCCTTGGAGCTCTTTCGCAGCATTTTGAAGGCTTTTAGGCAGCTGCTGACAGAGGGGTGGAGATGACAGAGGATGGGGACTGGGAACAGGGTAGGTTTGGGGGTTGGAATTTGGAAGATAAGTTAGTGAGGCTGGATGAATGTGTGTGTAAAAGTTGGCTTAGTGTGAGGTGACAGTGAGATGCGGGTGTTTAACTAGATCTTAGTGGTAGGATGGAAAGGGAAAGTAAGATTAAGAAAAGCAAAACAGGATAAATTAAAGAAAAAGGTTTGCATCCTATTTGTAGGTTATATTTTCTCCCAGTTCAATTATACCATTCCCTCCCAGCAAGGTTATTAGCTAACTAAGACTAAACTTAAAACTAAGATGTGAAAATCATTTTACTTGACTAATTATTAAGGTAAAATTAAAAACTAAACTTTTGAAGAAAATTAAAACTACTGAAACTTGGAAAAAATAACTTAAATAAAAATAAAAATAAAGAGGAAATATCCTCAGTTTTAAGATCTGTTAGTTTAATACAGTGTTATTACAGAATTGCTCATTGTTGTGTGTTTTTATTCTAGCACTTGTACTGATTTCCCTAAATCTTGAATCAGACATATTCCCTCGTATAATAATTAGACAGCAAAAATTAAAAAAATTAAAAGACTCAAACTAACACTGAAACTAATAAAAACGAATCTAAAACTAAACTGAAATAAGAAAACCCACTCATGAAACTAACTGAAGACAATGTTGAAATAAAAACAAAAACTAATTAGGAAACACAAAACTATGATAACTCTGGCTTCGAGTCAAATTTTATTGCCAAATATTTTAAAGATGATGCTGACTTTATTTGACCCCAGTTACAAAATAATCTCTTCAATCATACAAAAAAAGAAAGATAAGGCATGAAATATTTATTTAACCATCACTAACTGTGAAGAAGCCCTCAAAAAAAAAGAGTTTAATTTTCAAAAAAGGTACATATACATTACTTGTGGTTGACTTACAGTTTTCCTCTTATTTTATATGAAAAATTAAATAATTATATTAAAGAAAATAAATGGATAGGGGGGGATGGTTAGCACCGCCAACGCTGCACTGAGGTAAGAGTGCCATCTAGTGGTATAAATATACACATACACCACAAGATGACACTTCCTGTGAATATTTTAAGTACAATAAAACGCCAACATCTAAAAAAGAAAAAAAAGAGCCAACTGTCAGATATTTAAAATAACACCGACGAGGAAGTTTGTTTCAATATAACTTCCTTGTAGCAAGACAGGAATGGTAAAAACGACGGCAGCGAACCGGCAACATCTCCTCCCTGTTGTTTAAGAGGATCGTGACATCAAAATTTGCGTTGGGTGTACGCAGAGGAAACCCCTGGACATTACGTAAAGCTCGTGCAATGAATAAATAAATAAATAAACAATACGATTCTGGCGTTAAAGCACTTTGCTATCGATACCAAAGATTGTTTTTAAGCCTCAACAAATTTCAATTTTTATACAAAAGTTAGCACACAAACACAGACGCGCGCAGAGGATGAAGTTACTCTTTTATTTTTTTCCCTCTGTAATCGCGTCCCATGCAAATATTTCCACTCACCTCCCTACTGTCAGCGAAAGCGACCGAAACAACCCATTGCAAGCGCACTTACATCAGGATTTTTCCGGTGACTTTGTTAAACGCAGCAAATAGAAGCTGTTCGTGTTTATTTTGAGGCTGTTGACGGAAACGTGGGTGTTTGTTATTACTGGATTATTTCACTCCGATGCAGCCTACTTCCACCGTCTGGATCCGCAGGTGGGGCCAATCAAATATGCGCGTATGCTCGCAGCGACCAATCAACGTGCTGAAAGGGGAGGACGCTACAGCAGCTTCATGATTGGTGGCGGCCAAGCAGCAAAGATGCACAAAATCCGCTGCTGTATGGGGTCAGAAGGATTTCTTAGAGTCATATCAGTCAGTAAGGATCGCTTTGCTATCTTCTGCATGTTTTAGCTGAATATATACACATTTCAGTGTTTCTAGAATCAATTGCTGTTATTTTTCCTCTATCTACCTGTTGCTCAGTCAAAATAAAGTAGCTAAGCTTTGTGTCTTTTAACTAGTGAAATGTAGTTCTGAAGATTTTACAACGGTTATCAATTCAAAAGAAGATTGCATGCTATAATACGATAATATTGGTATTATTGTGGCTCCAGGCCAAAGTCAAATAGAGGCATTGATATACATTATATCAGGGAACATTGAGCTTAAATCCCTGAAATATTTTACTATAAGAAAAAGAAATGCAATTTTCTGCAATACATCTCAGGTTTTCTTCATGATGTAGAAATGATGCTTTGACTTTAAATTAGAATAAATAAATAAAGGTTCTGTTAAACTGCCCTGCAATTATAAAACGGAAAATGCTTGCTTGTCCTATTTTTTATGGTTATTTTCATGGTCAACCTAGAGCAAAAATCTTAAATTTCTTTCTGTCATGTAATTGTTTATCTTTTACTTTTACTTTGGTGTAGTATGAGTGGTGATGGGCAGCTAGAAAAGCCGTGAAACTCATGAAAATGCAGTTAAAAAACAAAAATGTATCCCTTCCTTCACATTTTCCAAAGTCTTTGGTGGGCTGATTCTGGCGCCTCTGCATTATATGTACAAAGTCATCCCCATTATATATAAACCGGCTTTAAAATGGAGTTGGTTCCCCCTTTGCGTGATTTTTTGCCCATTTATTCAGAAGAGCATTTGTGAAGTCAGTAACTGATGTTGGATGTGAGTTCTTTGTTTTAGTTTAAGATTTTTGATCAGGTTTAGACCAGGGCTTTATGTGAACCACTCAAGTTCTTCTGCACTAAACTTAAATGCTGGAACAGAAATCGGCCTCCTCCAAACTTTTCTGACAAAGCTGGGACAATATGCCTGTCCAAAATGTTTTGGTAAGCTGAAATATTGGAACCAAGCCAACCCCACAAAAACAACCCTGTAGTACAATTGATCCTCCACCAAACTTTACATCTGGCAGCTAGGTAAGATCCTCATTCCAAACCCAAACTCATCCATCACACTGCCAGACCGAGAAGCATGATTTGTGACTCTACAGAACAATAGACCTTGTTTCTACTGCTCCAGTCCAGTAGTGGCTTGTTTCGCACAACTCAATATGACACTTGATGATGTAAGGTTTGCCCGCAACTGCTCTTCTATGGAAACCCATGCTCTGAAACTCCTGGCACAGTTTTTGTGTTGATGTTAATGCCAAAAGACGTTTGGAACTCTTCCATTAATGAGTCAAACTGAATTCTAGACACTGTGACTATGTGCTGTCATTCCTAAACACTTCCATCGTGTGTTAATACCACTTAGAGTTGATTGCTGAATATCTAGGAAGGAAGAAATTTCACAATCTGACTTCTTGGAATAGGGGCCTGCTATTACAGTAGGGTGCTAATGTTGAAGAGTTACATCAATGTCATTTTAAAACCACTAATGTGAAGAGTTGCAATTTAGTCAACAAAGAGCTAAAAATGTATCAGAAATCCCATAAAGCACAACTCTGACCAAACAAAAGCTGCATTACGTTAACTTTATGAGACAAGATTACACACCACTGTATATTTTACAATGACAAAAATCTGACATTTACATTACCAGTGCCGTTTTTCAACAGTATCCCAGTTTCATTAGAAGATTAATTATCACCACAATAACCACATACTGAACAGTGTTAAAGCAACGAGCCCTCGGGTAGCTGTTCTAATAACACTGATGAGATGCAGTGACCCATGTGCAGATGGCAAGTGTCTTAAAGTGCCACTTAGGCAACAATCACTTCATCTAATGATAAAATTGCATTTGAAAGACACTGCAGAAAAGAGTAACACCAACTACGTTTTTTATTTCTAGATTTGGGTGTTCTCAAAAACTCCCATGTGTTGAAAAGGGACAACCAAAAGTTACAAGTTCAATTGACAATGTGCAACGTTTTAGCTGGACAGCTTCATTTTTTATATATTCTGTTATTACACCCATTTTACTTATTAATCTTAAGATGCAAATTTTTAAGATCCCCCAATATGAAATTACTGCAACTGTACTTCTGATTAAGACAGTCCCTGACAGACTCCCCTCACCTTTTATCAACAGATGTTCTACAGAATTTGTAGCTACCATCTATACAATAAATGATCCAGTTCAGAACCAGATTTCAAGGCACGTTCAAAACTTTTAAGATACGATTAATAAATACATAATAATAAATTAAGACAACTGCAACCCAGTGTTTGGTCACATTAAGAAATGAAAGTGCAGTGCACTCCCAGGATTAAGAGAAGGCAGAAAACTGTGCATGGAAGACAGTTGGAGGGAAACATTTAAAGCCAAAATATAATTTGACAAGTCTGAGAAGCTATATTATAAACAGCCATGGTTTGAGTCCTCCATGGAAGAACAGATCATTGTATGGCCCCATTGATAAGTGAATGGGAACAAATTGCTAACTATTTGTGGAGTGCTCACTGGAGGTATCCGAGATGACATCAAGTATAAGGTAGGCAGCTTCAAGGCGCAACACTGTCTCTTTTTCTCAAGTGAAGTTTGCAAACCCATCAAACAGTCTTTGGGTTTCTTCTGTTCATTCCTGTAATGAATACAGCGGACATCTTTTAAAAAACGAAAGCTTTCCAAGTATGTGCACAGGAGCGTCAAGCCAGAGCTGGCCTTTTGTAGCTACTTGAATGTTATTAATTGTTGAATGGAGGACTTGGGAATCAGGAGATGCACTCATGTTTAATCTCTCTTTATGGCAGGATGGCCTTGTGATGCATCACTGGTTCTAGGTCCGAGCGGTGGCGTTTCCAGGTGGACTGGGAGAGGAGCAGGAGCCACTCCATTGTTGTTGACAAGAGTCCCATAGGAGAAGGAACCACTGTAGTCTGGCTGAATGACTGGGCCTTTGTCGTGGATCGTCGGGACACCTGATAATGGAACGGACAGGCAAAGGTTCTTAACACAACTTCAGCAGAGCTAAAATGCCAATGCAAGCCTGCGTAGCTTGAAATCTCAGAAGACACAATTTATGATGTTTATGTTAAAATTTATACAAACCATTGCTCATATTCAAGGTGACGCACGGCTCAAATATCCTTGCCTTTTTCTTGGTTTTGGTTATAAGGAACACTCCAAGGAAACAAACTGCAGATCTGTACAAAGCACAAAACAAGCATTTACATTTATTAATTTTTTTAATACAAAGTTTTACTGCTTGGTATTTCAAATAGATACTGTATAACACATTTCTGCGAAGCATGTTTTTATTGTGTTTATTAGTATAAAAACAAACAAACACACAAACAAAAAAAATGGCGATATTAGGACAGGTGGCCTAACAGCATGCACAACAGTGAGTGACTGAAACCAAAGCAGTCAGAAGTCTAATTTTAAAAACATTCTGCTTATGATGAATGATTACTCACCCCAACAAAAACATGCAGATGTGAAGAATGTCTTCATTGCTAAACTCCAAGTAAAACACAGCTCCTGAAAACCAGAAAACAGTAAATCTTTAATGACTTTGGCATTGTTACTCTAAAAGGCGTGTAGCAGAAATAAAGCAGGTATGGGCTGCAGATGATCTATTAGACAACTATTAGAGTTGCGCACACAAGTTAATCCGATTGAAAACAATGGACAAACCAGCAACAAAGAAGGACATGACTCACCAGCCAACACGGCAAAGAAGGTGGAGAAGATGTAGTTGACACTCGCAACGAGAGAGGAGTCGTGCAGCTTACAAGCTTGGGAGAGAAATCTAGGACGACGGTAACAAACAAAAACAGTGGTGTATTAATTATGCTTATATACTGGGTCCAATTAAAACCAATTTAAAACAAACAAACGAACAAACAAAAAAAAAAAGCAATCAAGTGATGCAAGTTCACCCTGCTTGGAAGATCGCTGACGCCACCATGCACACAAACATGACGCTGAAGATCGGGTAGTTAAGCTGCATGGTGCCTTCGATGGTGAGAACCAACATGCCTGACACAGCCTTCACTGTCAAGACCGTAACTGAGCCTGTGTGCCAAAAGTACACAAAGTAGGTAAGCAAATAAAGGCGACAAGGAGCGACAGCTTTGGTTCCATTTAAAAATCTGAAATGTGACAATGTATCCTAACAAACATGATAGCAGCTTGGTCGGAAATTGATTGCTTCAATGCAGGACACTCACCCAGCAGTGCCACCAGTAGCAGAATAATAACGAGGTAGTTAGCTTTGCGCCGTTTGTAGAAGTATAAAAGCAGGCAGAATGTGATAATCTCCAGGAGCTGTCAGTTAGGATACAAACAAGAATAAACACCAAATTAATGCCATATAGAGAAAAAAACAATATATGAAACACAGGAAAGTCCAATAATAGGACAATTAATCTTACAGACAGAGACAAATGTGTATGCAGAATACCAACAAGGATAAAAAGAGCTGGTCATTTTTCTGCATTTAGTGCAAGGTTGTGGATTATAATGATTGTGTAAAGGGACGACCGAATTAAAAAGGAACAGAAGGTAAAACAGCCTTGCATTAGGTGCCAATTTGATGGAGCTTGTTGGCTCATTTATTCTTACCAGTTTTCCAAACTACAGCCTCAACATTAATCACAACACTGTGGTCATCTGTATGGTTGAGCTCCCTTTAAGAGATTTGTTTTAGCACAACATACAACAGACATGACATATACTAGGCTATTTAAAAGTGTCACTGCTTCATATGTCACGCTCTATATTCGTTTTTATCTATTTACT